TAATGGATCAAAAATTGAATATTCTTTCAAGGCGTGAAATTAAATTCCTCGAACAAAGCAACGTGGTAACTCGTACTATGTTAAAATTTTAAACTTGAAATTAAAGTTAAAATTCACATTGCGTTTCCTTCGAACTGAAGACAGAAACAAACACTATGCAGCCACTTTCAATCACCACTATAGAATCAAAATTTTAGTAATTATTTTCGAATAGTATTTATCCTATTCAATTCATTATGCCGCCACGATAATCGACCTATTTTTTGCACCCAATTCGGTGTTTACACAATACCATATTTCCGAATGTATCAGTTTTAAAGGCCAGTCGAATGAAATAAATAACTCGAGACAAATCCAAGGAACAGTTAACCTCGAATGCAGTAAATCTCTCCGTTCGCTCTGAGATCAAGATTTATACGGGAAGGGGAAATAAATACAAAGTCTGAAGGAGCAATTGGTCTAGACAATCTGAAACAGGAGAAAGAAAAAATGTGAGCTTCTTGTCGAAAAATACTCGTTGCAGAAGATGTTGGCGTTTTTATTTCGGAAGGTAAAGTTTTCGTATCAGATAATATGAGTGACGTCTCGACTTGCCTCGAAAATGCTCGGTATCGTCGTTTCTGTCGGATAAGCTACCCCATTAAAAACAGATTTGTCCGACAGTAAGTTGGCAGTTTTAAAGAAACGAAGCAATACTATATCGCGATACTTTTTAACAAGGCGCCGTTTGTATTAAAGACACGTAGTATCGTCGCGTTAGTGGCACAATAACTGTCGTCTTCGACTTTTATTGTATTTTTGTTACTCGCGAAACCTTGTAAACGAGTGGTAAATATTTTATATTCCCCTTATTTAAGACGATTCTCAGAAAAGCTTTCTTCTTGTTAGACAAAGAAAAAAGAAGTGTATATGTAAATAAAAATAATGCATTAGCAGTAAATTAAGTTTTATTAGGCTGCTCAAATAGTTAAGTAAAACTGAAATCTATGCGATAGGTATCCTCAAAAGGAAATTTGACGCTGAATAAAATCAAGAAGCCACTTATGCAACACAACAATGTGAAGAACAAAGCCCAATTGCAGTCATCTCTGTGTCAAAAATACAAATTACAAGAAACGAAAGGTTCATCTTCGAGAAATACGTTTTCCACTACGAAAATATTGTGTGGTTCCTTGAAGACTCCATTTCATAAACATACAGCTCTGAATAGATCATTGGATGGTGTTAGAAAACGGGATACTTGCGATACAATTAAACAGCAAATTGTAATACTAAGAAGACATTTGTCGAATCATACTTTCTCTCAGGAACCATCTATTCATCAAAGAGTATTGAATCGAGCACGTATTAATAATCATATGGAAAAGCGAAATGTTTTCAAACTTGTAAAAAGACGGCCCTATCAGTTTGAACAAAATTCAAAATCAGATAGTCAAAAATGTTCCAGAAAAGAAGTTCCTACAACTTACCAGCAAACTGTTACGAACAACTGTCAAGCAAGTTCGATAAAATCAGATCAGGTTCCCGGTAATTATCAGCAGACTTTCGCAAACAACCATCAAACATGTTCGAGGCGAACAAACGAAGTTCCCATCAAATGTCAGCAAACTTCCACGAACGATTGTCAAGCGTCTTCGAGAACGTCAGAACAAGTTTCCAGCAACGTTCAAAAAACTTTCAGACACGATTGTCAACCATGTTCAAGAAAACCACGTCAAGGTTCCAGCGATTGTCAGCAAGCTTGCACAAACAACTGTCAAATGCCTTCAAGAACATCAGAACACGTTTCCAGCAACTTTCATCAAGTTTCCGGTCACGACTGCCAAACATATCCAAAACAAACAAACGAAATCTCTAACAATTGTCGACAAACTTGCACAAACGATCAACAAACGCCTTCGAGAACATTACAACAAACGTATTCAAGGGGAACAGATCAAGTTGCTGGAGGTTGTCAGCAAACTTGCACAAATCACTGTCAAGCATCTTCAAACTCGTCAGGACAAGTACCCAGCAATGTTCAACAAGCTTCTAAAAACGATTATCAAACGTGTTCAAGAGGAACAAACGAAGTACCTGGCTATTGTCAGCAAACTTGCACAAATCATTATCAACAGTCTTCACAGACGTCACAACAAGTTCCCAGCAATGTTCAGCAAACTTCTAGACACGATTGTCAAACGTATTCAAGAGGAACAAACGATGGGCCTAATTATTGTCAGCAAACTTGCACAAACAACCACCAAATGCCTTCGAAAACAGTAGAACAAGTTCCCAGCAATGTTCAACAAACTTCCAGCCATGATTGTCAACAAACTTGCACGAATCAGTGTCAAACGCCTTTAAACTCGTCGAACATTTCCGGAAACGACTGTCAAAGATATCCACAAAAATCAGAAGTTCCTACCACTCATCAGCAAAATTTCACACGCGAATGTTACTTCTCGCAACGCCAACCTGTCCAAACTGAATGCATTACCCCACCAGGGAGCCAGAAGTTGGATGAAATGCCTAGAAAACGCAAAGCATCAGATTCGGTTGAATCAGGCTGTCCATCAGAAACAAATATTTCTCAAACATACAATACCGTGAAGCTTCCCGAATCATCGAGACACGATTGCAATAACTTGGAGTCGAACTTATCGGAAGGTGTACAGCCTGATCCACCACCACCACAGCCTGATCATTGGTCCCAGAAACGACCATCACGCAAGAAACGTTACACGCGATTCAACGAACCCGCTCCTATAGTGTTCATTCCTTATCAGAAATCAGGCAGACGCAAACCGAAGAAAGAAATATCAGCATCGAGAGATTCAGTGAAGTGTCCATTAGTGAGTTCATCCGTCAGTGATGACGTCGAGCTGAAAAAATGCGAGTATGTTAAAAAACGAAAACACTCGTCCTCGCCTAAGTGCGTAACTTCGTTTGATAAAACTTACCAGGAATACTTTCAGCTTCCGCGAGCGACCAAAACGAACGAAGAGCTGAGAAGTGAAGCGAATTTCGCTGCATACGGAAGCAGCTCGTACGCGAAACCGAAGGAACAGTTCACTATAACGGACGTGAATAATACCAAGCCAAACGTATCGAGTCTGAAGTATCGTCTGACCAAGTGTCCAGCCGTCAAAGAATTATGGCAAAGCGGGGATCGTAAATTGCCCAAAATAAACATGAAAACCGAAGAGATACCAGCGAAAACGCAACGTAGAGATCCACCATCGCGCAAGAAGATCCAACGGTTTAAAAGCAGCGGGGAATGGAGGAACCAAAAATATCTAATCCGATTAAGGATTTACATGTCGAAGAACAGTCTCGATCCGCGTTTGCCGACGATAGCTGAGACGAGACATCGTGCTTTCTCGAAAATGGATGCAACGAGATCCGTCTGAAGCTTGGCGATGTTTAGACGTTGGATCGTATCTCTGTCCAGGAACTAAAAAGAACAAGAGTGACGGAAATGAAGGGAAACGTGGGCGAACGAAAACATGTTTGTCCATCCGATTGTAACAGCCGAATACGTAGCCAGAATTAATAAACTATAGCGGACGTTTTATTCAATTTCTCGTAGAATTTTTAATTTCGTCGGTGCATAGCGTTTTCATCGTAAAAGCTATCCATTGTTTTGTCGCCAAGGTGGTGTTGTCTCTTAATTAAGCCACGTGTAACGTAAAAATCAACAAACAGATAAAAAGAGCGTGCCCGGTATGGGTAAATTTTATTGTTTTTGGTTTGTTGCTTTTTCTGCGGCGGTTCTGACGTGAGCGGGGCTTATCTGTTCAAACTGGCACTGCAAAACAAAATGTACATAAAGGAATGAGGGAATCCTCAGTGATTACGTAGAGTCGCGGTGGACATATCTGTGACTGAAATAAATTAGTACGAAGCCCCGTGTCCCGAGTTTCGCACAAAATCGTAAAATGTTTATCTACGCGTGTAATAAAAAAATAATTACGGAACGTTCTAAAACTGCAATTTATGCACAAAGTATTATTTCTGCTTTTCTAAAAATTATTTAACCAAATACTAAATAATAACGATGAAAATATAACGTGTGCTGTTCTTCGATCATTGATCGTTCTTCTCGATATATGATCGAGACATTTAAAATTCCATGGACGGGAACAAATGTGCAATTTTAAAGAATGCAGTCCAATTTGTCACACGGAAAGAAATATGTAGTAAGAAGGCTGCCCGTAACGGATGTTGTCAACTTTTCGCATTTATCGTCTCCCTTCGTCGTACGTTTTCACTTTTCCGTATCGCCATACTAAGGAACAAACTTGTGCATCAAATAATCTGACTTTACGAGCAACGTGCACTTTTGTCTCGATCCGGAAATGACAAATCCTTTGTTCTTAATGAAAAAGCCAACCAAATGTGAAACGTTTCTGTTCCAGGTTCATGTTTGCACAATGAAAACATTCTTTTACGATTTTCTTTCTTTTACAGAAACCTTTGTTCGAGTCGAGTTAACAAACGTATATCCTATGACACAAAACACTTCTTGTTATTAAATTAATGTAGTAATTCCCGTTCTTCGATTCTCTTGTATCTGACAAATAGAAATAGATGAATTTATTAAATAAAAAATTTCTTTAAGATTTCATACCCCCCTGCAAATTAAATACAAACACGTAACCTGTTTATAAGATTCTGTGTATGAAGTTTTTGATTCGAGAAATTCTACTAAGTTTTACGAAAATTAGGAAACGTATCTGTGCTTTTCTGCTCCAGCAACGAGACAGGGTAGAATAAATCTTGGTAAATATTATTCCAACGGGCAAATGTACAAGCTCCTGTCTCCTCGTGAATTACATTGTCTGTGGAAAACGGATGAATCATAAAGGGTAAATTATATACCCGTAGGAAGCAGCCAGTCGCATTCAGGAACAATGATCCTCGTTAAAATTCATTCGTTGCCGGCGCATAGAGCGGGTCGAGCTAGATTCCGCGATTATGGGACAAACATATTAATACGAGATTGTTCTTTTCTGCAGATAGTCGACGACTGGTACCACATGGTGCACACATCGGTGGTGAAGAGGTCCACGGAACCGCATCTCGGGATACACCAGAGGCTAATACAAGACCGCAGGGTGCGTCGTGCAGAACAGCAGCGGGTAAAGTCACGAACGAAACGAGACCTGATAATCAAACGCGGCCCGTCCAACCTGCAGACCATTCTGAATGACGAAAGGTGGCCCCAAATGTGGTATTTGGTTAGTTACTTTCAAAATAATTGTTATTTCCATCGTCGAGTTTAATGGATTGATCTGACAAACGAAATTTAACAGCAGTTTCATGAATTTCTAAGTAGACGTTTGACAGAGACAGTTCTATTAAAATGAAATTATCGATAATATGTTTCAGAATAGGGGGAACGGATTGGATATGAACGTACAGGAAGCTTGGGCGGATGGAATTACAGGACGTGGTGTCGTGGTCACGATTCTCGACGACGGATTGGAAAAGGATCATCCCGATCTCTGTAGAAATTACGTAAGTTCTTTTATTTACTATCCTCGGGAAGCTATATTGAACGCGGGCATTGTTGTATAATATTTACCAACTGGAAAGTATACCAGCTGATGAGTTACACCATTAATAAAAACGATAATACGCGATGAAAATGAACAAATATCTAGAACAACCGAATAAAAATGAAGAATATGGGAAAACTACTGTATCTGGCATTCCTAGTTTAAAATGTCAAATCGAAATCATTTACAAAATCCAGGAACGAATCATTAATACCTGTCGATCGTAATAATGCTTTATTAGTCGGAAAATTTAAACTGCCCCGACGGTGCAAAGAGAAGCTCCGTTTTTGAGTAATTTCTCGAGATTCGTCTATCTCTGCGCAAAGATCAAAGGCCAACAGCGGCTTTGAGGCAAACAGAACGAACAAGAGGGATGGTAAGCTGCAAAACAGGGACACGTACGAATGTTCAAATGGTCCTAAAAACCATCCCACCACTTAGTGACTTCTGTGAGTTGCCCGACATACTAAACGTCAAATTCCTAACTAGTTACGGATGAAAGTTATCGCGATATAGCGAATTAATTACGACATTCGCGGATTTGGCTGCAACGTGGTTGAAGAGCGATAGAAGAGATGCGAAAGAACGAGCAACGGAGATTCAATGAAAGAGCCTGTACCGAGCTATCGATGTTACTAGTGGAATTCAGAATCAGCCAGCGAGTCAAAGAGCAATCTTGAACCACACGCGGACTGTGTGTTTGCTAGTGGATGACCGAGGTTAATAAGGCAACCGCAGAGAAATGCGTGTAGAGCTCTACAATCTTGCAGTAGACACGGAAGTCCATGGTCAGACGCGGCTGATTACTCCAATATTGATCTAAATGATGTACATATAGGCCTGATATCTACCTCGATCAAATAAAAGCCACCACCAGTAAATTGAAACTATATCGCTCGATACACAGGAGCAGCCAAGAGTACAAAAATAATAAACAAAAATCATGTCAGTTTTAAATAAGCTACTTCATTCGGAACAAAGACAATTATATCATCTATGAATATGAATAAAAATTGAAATAATAATAATAATATAATAGTAATGATGCCTCACTAGAAAGTATAGAGTACTAACAGTTCATGAATGCAATAAAAATCCTTATTGGTCCTCGATAAAACAAAAATTAAGAATCGAATGTCTAAATTATTAATAATCTAGAAAACGTAGATTATGAATGTGAAAACATGTAAAATATGAAATAAGATAACTTTTGTATAAATTTGTTTTTGGATGAAGCATATATGAAGTAACGATGGATCGAAGGAAATTAATGAGCCTGATAGAAATATTTTATGTCCATGAGACCCGGTTGAGCGTTCAGGTGTAATTTCGTGCGAAAGGGGATGAGAACTGTAATATCGGACTCGAAACTTTGAAACAATCTCTTGTAAACCGCCCGAAGGAAAAAGCAATTACATCGAAATCAGTAGGAAATCGATATTCCAAGCAAACTTCGTAAAATTGTAGCCAAGGTGTATTCACTAATTCCAAAACTAGTTCACTCGGTATTGACTTGCCAACTTATCGCTTCATTCCCCCTATCTCAGTGAAAATCAGTAATTTAAGCAAAACAAAGCAGTCTGTTGCACGATCTGACATAGTGCTAAAAATCGATCATTCCGATCACGATGAATTTAAAATTATCTTCTTTTATTACACTCGTTATGAGAACAAAATATTCTAGTATGTTATGTATGATGATACTTGTTAAAATATGGTAATTAACTATGACTTCAAATTATTTTGAGTTTGATAGACTTGCTAAATAAACACTTGGCATAATTTTAAAACAAACTTAGTTCCATCTGTCGTGTTAAAATTAAAATAATTTTTTAAACTAAACATTTTTCAATTTAAATATTTGAATATATTTCGCGTATAAAAAATATATAATTGTATTGAAAGGGGTTGTTGTATCTTGAAAATACTCAAATATGACAACAGAAAAAATGATATAAAATATAGTGAGTATAATTACGTAACGAAGGAAGTTTAAAGCATACGATTCACACGAAGAATTTAATTATGATTCCAGGATCCGCAAGCTAGCTATGACGTTAACAATCACGACGAAGATCCCATGCCAAGGTACGATCTGTTAGACAGTAATCGACATGGAACCAGATGCGCTGGTGAAGTTGCTGCAACTGCTAATAATTCTATCTGCGCTGTCGGCGTCGCGTTTGGAGCTGGCGTGGGTGGTAAGTCTATTCAATAAATCGAATTCAACCCCTCGAACCAAAAGATAAAAGTATTGTGTATTTTTTTTTACAATTTTCTGTTAGTACGACGTTTCGGGAACATTTAAAAATATTACATTGGAATCTAAATTTCTGTCTGTGAAACCCATATTTTCTTCATCGATTTGCATTATTTCATAAATCTCAGTTTTTTGCTCCACCCACATTCGTAATCTATGAAAGTTGCTTTTTGACAACATGAAACAACTCTAAGAATTATTTGTATCCTACAATAATTTTTTTCAACATTTTTGAACGTAAGACAAATAAGAAAGTTTCAAATTAATTAGAAAAGTCCTTTAAATAATTTGTTGAAGTCAACAAGTGCTTGATACTATTGCAAACATACAACAATGGACAGAAATTTTTATTCGTAATCCACAAATTGGTATTATTTGTTTCGTTGCTCGTTTTTAATATTTCTGTATTGTCGTTTTACGATTCCGTGACTATTTCATCTTCGATGATACGCGTCCTTTATAAAACAGATCGTAATTAATAAAGAGGGAGACTAATTTGGAGCACACAGGTAACCATCTGCACGTTGTGCAAATTTAACAAGATTTGCTAGTATATTGTCACGTAGACTCAAATTGGGAGGACGAAATTAGCCTCGATTCCGTAATTGGTAGCAAGTTCAAAACTGTAACCGATGCAGTAACCGGTAGTAGCCTCGCCTCTAGTTAGGGACAATATGCAACAGTGGCGAAACTGCTTATTACAAACGTGCTTTGAAACCAATAATATAAATCTATATATTATAATTAAATTCTAACTACGAACGAAACGTTACAAAAATTACCATGTGTATTAATCGTCAAATAATTTAGCGCAGCAATAATTAACAATATAATACAATTTTAATAAATTCATTTATTTTTCATAAAAATACACGTATCGTTTGGTTTTTAACCCTCGCCTGATAGTGTGGGCTCAAAATTACCCTTACTGTTTCTATTAAATTTCAGTAAACAGTTAACTGTAATAATTAAACGGATTCTTTATTGCCAAATCTTTAATTTAATTTTTAAATTTTAATTTTAAGCTAATCTTGGTAAATTCTTGGTCAATTCTTGCTAAGTAAACTAAAGTTTAATATAAAATAAAGACAAAAAAATAGATTTTTAAAGAACACGATCTTCTGCCACATTTTATTCTATATACTGTTGTTTCTATTTCTTAATACTAATTACTGATTCTATCCTACCGACTATTTTTGCTTCGATTATTTCATTATTGAATTACAAAAGTAATAAAATATTTCAGCGTGATTTTCCTGCACATTCGTTTGTATTTTTTTTATCAAGGTTGATCACCTTAACGTTTATGTAAGAAGTATTCCACTCTACCAGTCGAGGGTCAAATAAAACACAGAAGTACGACAAGAAGTAAATATCTGAAAACGAAATTCGAGCACGACACGGGCAATTTAATTAAAGATTTCTCGTTTTGCTTTCGTCGCGCAGGGGTGAGAATGTTGGACGGAGACGTAACCGACGCTGTCGAAGCCAGGTCACTGAGTCTGAATCCTCAGCACATCGACATTTACAGTGCCTCCTGGGGGCCGGATGACGATGGAAAAACCGTCGATGGCCCCGGTGAACTTGCCACTAGAGCTTTCATCGAAGGAATCACGAAGGTTAGTAAATATTCTGCAACGTTACATCGCGCCGTATAATTTCGACGAATTCGAATGCATTTCAACCGTCAATGATGAATTTTTTTTTTTTAAACTTACAAATTACAAGGAAAATCATGAGTGCAAACTCGGTAAACGCGATCGAAGAGTTTAATAAAATACTAAATTCACGTTGCTCCCCAAATATCCATGGACTTCAAAATTAATAAAATCGAATAAAAATTGTAATTGTAGAACGTTATTTATCTATTATTCAAAGGTACTCGTTTAATTACCACGTAACAATCACTCTTTCGCCAAACTGAAATAAAAATAATACGTTTGCCTGGGATTTCACGCGATCTATCTCAATTTCCGTATTCAATCTCTGTTTCCTTTTTGTGGTCGTTCTTTGAACTACCTTATTGACGAGTAAAGTTTCTAAATCTCTTTACGAGTTCTCTGAGAGTCTCGTCGGAAAACGGAAAGTTCGTTACATATTTCGTTTGTGATACAAGAAAAATCTCATCTAACCGCCGCGACAGTATCGCCAGATCTGTTTCCCGGAATGAAATTCACAGAAATGTATCACCTGAAAGCGTTCCTCGAATCTCTGCGGGGCGACAATAGAAAAGCAGCTACCTCGTTGTTATCTCGATGTATAATACGCCTAGCAGTCGCGCGGAACCAACTCTCATTGGGTTTGTCAGGGGAGAAGGAAGGCCCTTTATCACGTTCCTCAGACAACGAACTTACGTGTCAACCGACGTTGCATCGAACCAAGAGATTGTCATAACGCAGATACGCGTATGAATTAAAGAGACGGCTCTTAAGGGAAACGATACGTACCAATGTTTAATTTATCAACATTTTTCCCCATATTACAAAGTTAAATTCCCGTCCCTCTCGATTGTATATCGTGAAAAACTGCGATTGATAGAAAGAACATCTGCATGAAGATGTACCTTTGATCGAATCGATATTCTACTTATAAATATGATACAAGTTTCAAGAACTTACAAAGTGTCCTCTTTACTTGCTTTGATTTCCGTTACCTTTCTCGGTCGATGACATTTTTCTTGATACCCTGAATATTAAAAGTCTCCGCAGACCCGAAAGTTTCAACGAAGGTTACAATCGACGTCGCGAAGTTAATAACGCGACGAAAGAAAAAAGAATCAAACTGCCCGATAATTAGTATTACCTAGCGAACGTCGACGGTTCCGGTAATTATCCGGGCAATCGAGAAATGATTCTTTCGTTCGTCGAAAAAGGTCGTTGCCTCGTACAACCGTAATTCGATTACGCCGCAGAACGACGAACTTCTTCGTTTAGACCTGGCTTAACAGACTCAGCCGACGAGGTTAGCCCTCCCAAAGTTTCTAATTGGCTGCTTTTAGACGAACTGTCCCTGCGACTCTGCACCTGCACGAATTACCATTTTAACCTTGCTCACTGGTAGGCAGCCCGCAAGTCATATGCAAATGTCAGAAGGTACCCCGTTGGATCTCGTTAAAACAGCCCCGACGAAAAATAAATTTCAATACTTCTAGTTTATAATCCATAAAGACTCGAATTATACGTGAGTTTCATCGTTCATCATTTTTCTGCAATCCTTTTATTCGGTAAATTACTTCCACTTGTACGGATGTTGTACCATTTTGAAAACACTCGTTTATATTTCACGTTAATTTTTAATCAATTACCCGCGTGGTGTCACGACAGAAAGAAAGAAATATGGATTTCAAAGCATAGGTGTATAGTTAATATTAGTAATGTTTTGTTAGATAATCTTGCAATTCTGTTAAACGAGTTGTTAAAAGAATCGTCGGAATTACCATTTAGAAAATTATCTGCACCGTAACATTTAAATACTCACAGAATATTGATGTTACCAACTACTACCACCCCACAATGCGAATTTAATATTCATAAAGAGACTCTCTGCTCGCGGTAGTTTGCAAGGCAGTCTGTACTTGCTAATCGACTTAATATTTCCTAGAGACGCTTCGACAAAATCGTTGTAACGAAGGTATACTAAATTTTAAATTACTACCCCTTGAAGAATAAATTAATCGAATCAATTATATTCTCGAATACTTTGGTGCTTAAACGCGACATGGAAATTTAACGTAGAGATGAAATACCACAAACTAAAGTCTGGATACAACATTTTTGTGTAAAAGAAAATAAAACACAATCATCCTGCATATATATCAATTAATCCAATAATTTCTAAATAGTATATAAAATATTTTCTTTTTAAATTTTGTAGCTGTCTGAAAACTTTTGAGGGGGTAATATACGAAATCTGATATATGCACGATCCATCAAAGACCAAGACACGTCACATTCGATCGTATAGAGTGTGTTAATTAATCATTTCCTGCCCACTGAAAGGATTCTCGACCCGAAACGTGCAATTAATTAATGAAATTCGTCGCTTTGATCGGCAGGGTCGGAACGGCAAAGGGTCGATCTTCGTGTGGGCGTCAGGAAACGGAGGCAGGGATCACGACAACTGCAACTGCGACGGTTATACGAACAGCATCTGGACGTTGTCCATCAGCAGTGCCACGGAGAATGGTCAGGTGCCTTGGTACAGCGAGGCCTGTTCCTCGACTCTCGCAACCACCTACAGTTCTGGTTCAACCGGTGAGAAGCAAGTAGTGACCACCGACCTGCATCACTATTGCACGAGCAGTCACACGGGAACGTCTGCATCGGCACCGTTGGCCGCCGGCATCTGCGCCCTTGCCCTCGAGGCGAACAAAGAGTTGACCTGGAGAGACATGCAACACATCGTCGTGAGGACAGCGAAACCCGCAAACTTGAAAGCTCCCGACTGGGTAACCAACGGTGTCGGACGAAACGGTGAGCCGGAAACTTACGTCCAAAACTTTTCAATCTTCCATGTACCAACGCTTTTCGAACTTACCCCGGCCCTTTAATAAAGTTACCAAGCCGTTCTCCACGCTTATCCCCCTGTTTTTTAAACAAACAGACGTTGAAATTGTCAGATTTTGTCGATGAACTTTTGTATCTTTCTATTTGAAAACGAGGAGCGCGCCAAACTGTTTTGCAACTTTATTGACAATCGTTTTACGAACACCCAAAAGGAATTTTAACGAGAAAATTAGGGGACAGTACCGTGTTCGAAACCTTTAAATTTCTTAATATCATATAATTAGAAAATTATAATATAATTCTGCAATATAATATCAATGTCGAGAATTAAACTCCACCGTTAATCAGTGCATTGTAATTCATCGAAAACACGACGAAAGCTGAATTATGACTTGGATAAATCTGAATAATAATGAACACCAGAAAATTCAAAACAGATTGGTTCAAAAATTAAATGGCATTTTATCATGGTTTACGAGCCCATCAGGAAAACCTGAACGAAACGCCCTTTAATTCTTGAAACAATATGTATCGAAGTACGAAACTCATTATTAATCAAATTTATCGATGCCGCGATTGTGCTTCCGGAATGAAAATTCTGAAGGCGTAGTCGTGTTCTCGATAAATTATAATGATCTCATTAACCAATTGAATTTAATTTTTTATTTATTCTTTATGAATGGTGCAACATCAGATTGATAAACTTTTATTTATAACAAATCAAAAAAGTAGAAAGAAATTTTGATGTATCACTGTGCAATATCAAGAAAAATTACAAAAATTGTCAAAATAATTCTTCAAATTTGTTTTCAGTGAGTCATAGTTTTGGCTATGGGTTGATGGACGCCGCCGCCATGGTGCGTTTGGCCAGGAGGTGGCGAACAGTACCAGAACAACATAAATGCGAGGTTTCAGCGCCACACATGGGCAGGTAAGTCTTGAGACACATCGAGTTTCCTCTTCCCTCTTCCAGAGCTAAATTTTCTATTGTCTCACCTACCGATGGCAGCAATTTATTAAAAGTAATTCGCGAAAGCTTGCAAGGCGACGCCTTAATAAGTACAAAAATTTTTTTTAACGAAATCGACGGAATAAGCATTTCAAAATAAAGTCGAGATACACCGTGTTCTACTTCCGTGGCTGACCTAAATTTCATATATATTATAGGCCAATACCACCAAAGAGCCAGTTAAGTCTGGAATTGCACGTCAAGGAGTGTAGCGGTGTTAATTTTCTCGAGCACGTGCAGGTAAGTACCGTGTCACTCGCGCAAGCAGAAGGTTAATAGTTTTCCTCTTAACAGGGTTCAATCACTTCGACGCGAAGAACTGCCGTAAATGTTCTCGCGCGCTGTTTAATTTTTATTCAGAGACGTTTTGCAGAAACGTACGCAAGCAAAATCATTTTCCGCGTATTTGTTGTCTAATTACAATTTATCGTATTAGTACGGTGAACATTTTAATTAGCCATCGAACTGGTGGGTTGTGATAATCGTATCATCGTTCAATTAACCCTCTATACCCAAACGTGATTCTAAACGTACCCATTATCTACATTTTTTAATTCTAATTTAACCCTATTGTTGATACGTATCGATCAAAGTATTAGAAAAATTTGGTCTATAGAAGGTTAATTAATCCTGAAAATATTTTTGAAAGTTCGACAGCTTATGAGATTACTAACGCGTAGCAACAATGTCACAGCATGAAGTTTAACCTACTAGGATGGAACATAAGTTCGCGCTGTTTCTTTTCAAATTTTATTCCTTCGATAAATCAACGAAGAATGTATTTTCCTTCATTGTCTACGATCTCCTTGCAAGATGTGGAAAGTACGGTGCAAAAGAACTTCCCAATCGAGCGTTTCAATGGCGATTTTGGTCATATTGGTGGTGTGTGCACAAGCGTTGTTTTGAAAAATCACGCCATTTCGCCGATCGGGCCGTTTTCGTTGAATAGCTTCATCGAGGTGATACGTTTATTGAACATGGAGCTTCGCATTGACTATCTCGTTGTTTTCAAGAAGCTTGTAGCTTGAAAGCTAAGAGAAACAGACGTCGAAAGTGCTCGTTTCTGTCGATTTAGCATTCCCATTTGTCAACACTACATTCAAGAACATTGATTTGATTTTTATTATTGCCAACAAATAATATTTAAGTAAAAATTGACAAGAATTAAATTTGAAGAGAGAACAGCCCGACCTTGTGTTCCAAACCAATATGTATATAGAAACAATATTTCGTACGCTCCAATTTAATATTACTCGGCTTTCGTAGGCGAAGGTATCTCTGATGGCCTCCAGAAGAGGAGATCTTCAGATACAACTAACATCTCCACAGGGTACGAAGAGTACTCTGCTTGCAAAAAGGCAACACGACGTCTCGAAGGCTGGTTTCAGTCAATGGCCATTTATGTCGGTTCACACTTGGGGCGAAAGGCCACACGGCACGTGGAAACTTGAAATCCACAATGAGGGTCGATATCAAGGTAAGCCCATTGTATAAATCTTTTTGTTCTTTTCTTTATCGAGTACGGTATTTCCAGTTAAAACGCTGTGCATTTTGCGAAGTTTCAGATCGCAAAACATTTTTACGAAAACTTCGATCCCTCCTCGATCTAATATTCCGAGCTCTTTCGAGCTCATCGACTAATTCACCATCTTTGACAAAATTTCAACTACTAATATCGACATAAAATATTACCATCTTTTCGCTCCGTGAACGCATGGAAACTTATAGAAGATACGAAGGTTTCGTTGTATGCTAAAGTTTAATCTTGTAATAAGGCGTTCTTCCAGTCGAATTCGTAAAGGGATTATCAAATTCTGAGTTCGCCAATTTAAGACCGAAAATACAATAATCCTTGTACACGGCGACTGTTCAGCGAGACGTGTTCAACTGAATTCAAACTTGTACTTTGCCTTCGGTGGAGGTAGCTTTCACTCACCGGGGAAAGCAAATGACCTTGTGCAAGTATTAAAACCACTTCAGGCCGCTTCTACAGCCCTATTAAAGCTAATAGCTGTGTAAACTTCATTACGTAAAATTTGTCCCTAAATGGAGCATCTCGGGTTCTCGTATCCGTGCATAGCAAATTCCCAGCGTCAACTTTTGTATCTCAGATGTATTCAAGGCACAGGTGTTTGCGTAATATCCTCCTCGATCATCGCGAGACTGTCCTAGTCTATCGAGATGGCAGTACTAATAGGATGCATTCCGTGCGAGTCAAATCCCTAATTTCTCACAACTGAGACCATAATCGGTTAGTCGAAATGAACTTAGCTATACTTAGCAAATACTGATCTTATTTAATGGAAAGAAGTAATCTCAAAGTATTCGTTTCGACGCCTCTCTTGGGAATACGATAAAAGTATAACAGAAAATAATTGGAAATATTTTTGGTCGTTCGCTTGAACTCGAAATTATCCATGGACCGCGAATAGTGTCATCAGGCTCGTGTACACTAACGCCTGGCGCGAGTAGTAATGGCCATCTGCTATCTTATTATCTCATCTTCGAGGACACGAAGGGAATTCTCGTAAACCGAGCATGCGAGATCACGTAAGCTGCTGAATCACCTCCCAAGGGCATAATTCCATATTCGAAGCATGTTCCCTCGCGATCGCATCCAGCACCAACGGATCTCATAAACCACTAGGGGAAGCTGACCTTGTGCAAGATGGAACCGGTAGAAACACTTCAAGCTAGAAGCCCGTTAAAGCCGATGGATTTGAGTTAACTTGAGCTGATAATCTATCGTATCCATGTACAAGGTAGAACCTTGCTCTATTGTGCATCAAGTAAATGTATTTAAACCACTACACGGTCACGTTTGCTTTGATTCCCTGTACATTGTCATCGGACACCTTCATTATCATCGATCAGACACAATATTGTCCCACTATAGAACTAACGTGTTGAAAATGATCGTCGATGATTTAAAATCCAAGTGTTAGCGTTTGCTCATAAATGTTCAGTACACAAACACAAGAGTTTCCTGACGCCAAAACTGGTACTCCGTATCATTGGCAAAGTTTCCTTTTAGTAAAAGGTAAGGTTGTGATATCTTCAGGTGATCTTAGAAACAATCGGTTATTAGTAATTATCAGTTATTAGTAGAGGTTATTAGTAATTATTAGCAAAACTATAACAACGTTCTCCGATTTCCTGCTGGTCTGACGAACAACGAATCAGGTCGTGCGACTCTACACGAGTGGGCGTTGATTTTCTACGGGACGGCGACGCTGCCTGATCGCACGGAATACGCGTTGTACAATCCTGCCAATGTCAACATCCCTAGGAGGCCGTTCGTGAAGCCACGGGAGACCGTGTTCTCGAAGGCGCAGAATTCCCTGACAGGCTCGAAGAGCAAACAGACTCAACACAAGTCCGAGAAATCTGGGAATCTCAGTCCGCCGTACGTGGTGAACGCGCAGACCCAATCGCAGAGGAAGGGGAAGGCGCGTGGTCAGCACAAGAACGGCAAGTCGGCGAACAAACCAACGCCTAAGCCAACCGTGCAAACGTTGAGAGGGTTGACGGCGGTAAGGGGTCCCAGTGTCGCTGGAGAAGTACGCCTGATCACCTCCAAGCCACGTGGAAGGAGTACACCGAGTCCGATCACTACTACCACGGTCGTCCAAACAAGACCCACCACCGTCCCTCCCACCACTAGAACGACGAGCAGACAAAGACTCGTCGAAATAGTGACCGTGTCGTCCCTTCAGACGGGCCTGATCCTCTTGGAGCCACCAGCGAAGCCCATCATTGAAAACGTACCCAAGATCTTTCAACAGTATCACAAGATTCAGAAACTCTACCCTCTCTATCCTATATTCTCCGGCGTGCGTGGGACCGGACAACACGCGACCAGGGCGAAGGGTTTGGACTTGCTGCAAGACGAGCAAATGTTGGACTCGAAGAACACGGACAACGGTATTCTGATTTCGTTGGCGTGGATGTAATTTCGTGTAATGAGCAATCCCCGTGAATGACGATGTTGCCTGTCGCGAGTTACGCTGCAAGTGAAACGCAAATAAAATTCTGATAACGTAGTTGCTATCTTCCCAAGGTAAGCTTGAAACACACATAGAATGTTGATAGCGTGAATCACAGTCGCTGTAGTTTGAGTCTTCTAAATTTTGTCTCTGGAAAAGCCCTTCTTAAAATGAGGAATTATTTGTCAGCTTTCACTTGCAACTGATTTACGTGCAGCTTCTCGCTGCATCTTGCAACAGCAGTGTATAAGTTAGAAGGTGCACCCACGTACAGAGTTACAGAGTTAATTGAACTTGATATAATTTAGTCCCTGCCCCATTACAATTTTTCTTTCGTTTGCTATGTAATGAATGTAACTGCACTTCGATGTAATTACTGCTAATTTTGGTAATATGTTATTAATTATATACCACTAGTCTCTGCAGATTCCAAGAGACAATTCCCCAGTGTCAGTTCTGTTTACACGTTGAAGAATTATCACGTTTGTTATAATCAAACGATGTAATTATTTTTCGCTATTTTCGTATTTGACGAGTGAAATTTTCCAAATACTTTACTTCAATTTACGTAATAACTTATTAGTTCTCATTCGAATACGTTCGATGTAACTTACAGATTGAGAAATTGTTACTGCTAACAGTTTTTTTAACATCAAACTAATGAAATGCTTTTAACCAAATGTTCCTTGCATGCCAGTTTTTCCCCCAACGAACTCATTTCGCGAACAAAGTTTTTTTCATTAATTATTTCGCGAATAAAGTTTTTCACAGTAGGGGAGATCGGGTAAATGAGCGAATGAAAAGTATTCTTAAGTCTATTTTAACTCTTAGTCTTCAAACACTACGAGTGAAAACTGAAGGAAATACATTAGAAAATAAATTTGAAAATATTTGTTTATTTGTTTTATATATATATCCAGTATCTAAATAATTTTACTACATCGAGTTTCCCCGATATTCCCTACTGATTGAAGTCTTGCTTGTTGGAAGGTATTATGGCCCTAATAAGAAAACTTGTTAAACTAAGTGTATGGAGGCTGCGCCTTTTAATCAAAACTTTCAATGACTTCGCTGCAAGTAATGCTTGTCTTTCTAAATCGTTTGTGTGCATGAAAATGTGTGTTTAGTAAAACTACATCATAGACAGCGACACTATCACATGCTATTTTGCACACGTATATTACCAGATGTTTAAATTGCTTTTAACTATTTATTTATTTTAACAAATATTAATTTATTACAGTGCATCTAATAATTGCTTAATTATTAATTCTTCATCTGGCTAGTCGTTTAATAAACGGTAAAACTAATATAAAATATATTGGAAAATCCCCTTTAACGCGACGTGATGAACACTTTGTATATTTTACTATTTTTTCCTGTTTCTTGCTTTTATACTCGAACACCAGACCGTTTATTGCTTTAATTCCTTTCGACTTGTGTTTCGTACTCTCGCGGAGTTTTGTTTCTCACTTGATAAAGCTGAAATTAACTAGTTTGTCCATGGTTACTGGAACATGGAAATGAGGATAACACGTTTAATGTGATTTCCAGTTTGAAAGCATAAATGAAGTAGGAACTTCACTTATTATTCGAAACCAGCGGTACCGTGGTACACGCTGTGCAACATTACGCGGTCAACATTTTACGTTGACGCTTAATTATTCCTTAAAGATAAATTTGCATTAATTGAGCACAGATTCGAAGCGTTAAATTAAATAAATTACAAATTAGATTGTCATGAACATTTGTGATTTCTTCTTCGAGCTTTATAAACACGATTTAACTCGCAAAGTATTCCGAATAAATCAAGATTTTAACGACGATCGATAAAGATCGTATTAATTTTTGATCAGAACAATAACGAGTTATTTCCCTCGACAGTCCATAAAACGGCTCGGACACGTAAGCGTTCAGATAGCCGAATCTTTTACAATCGTATATACCCGTCACCATAACGAGCGAATGTCGTTTTTATTACCACCGTTGACAAAAAGTTTATAGTTACTTACTCTGAAAGAGTAACGAATTACGACCATAAACCTGCAGATGTAATACGGGATTTCATTTCACTCTGTTTCAACAATCAAAAAAGTTTTGTTTCCCCTTACTATATAGTAAAATAATGAGACTACAGACTGTTTTCTATTCGAATATAAAAATATAGATCCTTGTAATCCTGTAAGAAAGAGAAAAAGAGGATGTTAGTTAAGAATGATACAAGAATGTTTAATTGTAAGTTGTCTTCTGTAATTATCACAAGTTAGAGGATTTAAAGAAACTATTAAACTTAAATTTTTGGAACATACGTAAGTATAATATAGTTACCATTAAGTAAGACAATATGTATTTTAATTTGAGGCTCATATGAAAGAGAATCAATCAAATGTTAACTGTTAAACCTTTCAATTAACGCTAAAACGTCTGATAAATAGCATCAGATGGAGACTTTAATTGAAGTTATTTATTAGAATCGATAATTTTTATCCGAATTCAATTTCGTTCGAAGCACTTTTGATTCCACGTACCTCTCGGACACTTTCCACCATTAATAACCTGTGACTTTTAGAAAAATGGAACTATAAGATTACAATTCGAACTAAAAATCCCTTCAAATTATTTCCAACAATTTATCGACTGAATTCCGATTGGATTTCACCGAAATAGACAAATGACCGAGAGATTAGTCTCGCATAAAAGACAAACGATTCCGAAGAACTTTAATTTCTTCTTTAGTTCAATCGTTATCGATAATTTCCTTTCTTTTAAATTATCTCGCTAATGCAGAAATCTTACCGTCGTCTTATGATTCTTCGTTCCTTTTTTAGGACGGGAAAAATGTCTGAAATCCAGGTAATCACGCTTCTTAGAGGAAAACATAGTTCGATATAATTTTCCCGCACAGTCTGCTGTAAAAGCAAAATTGAAACCGAGCTTCCTATCAAGTCGGAGATTAAACTTTAATCAAAATATCTTTTGCAACATTATTTTAAAACGAATATATACCAGAGCTTATTATACGTAAACCAGAGTTATTTATGAGTTACAATATATTATTTAGTGCTGTTTCCTTTTTACTGTAAGCGATATTGTCACCCGCATATTTTATGTTTTTATGTATCCGCTATGCATTGAATAATAAGCGTTCTTCTAAACAGCTGTTGGATAAAGCTGCAAATAAATTTCAAATTTTGCATAACTCAGCTATAAATTTGAAATGATCCCCCAACGCGAAAAGCTTTCATCTTTTTACATTAGATTGGCATGTAGAATTTAAGACAGTAGAACGTAAACTCGAGGTATCAGTTTTATGTTAAGAATAGACATTTATTTATAATTTGGTTGTAAACAATATCCTCTAGTATGATTCATCCCGACCCTAATGCAGCCTCACAGACAGATGAATCTTGCATTTCCCGCACTTAAACGTCAAGATGACATGTTTTGGAAATTACCCAACCTTTGTGTTTTAGCATGATTATACAAACACATATATTTACACATATGTTTTACATTTGTCACTTACAAAGCACCCTTCTTATAGCTCGATGTATGTGTTTTTATCATTTAAAAACCTTTCTAGTAAACGAACCCTATCGTTGCTCAAGAATTACAAGCATATTAAACAAATAAGACAACATTAACACTAAACCTACCACGATCGGTCAAAGGTCGATTAGCTTCCGATGTAAATAGATCTCCACTGCCTTAGAACAGTCTAACAATGCGTATTAAAAATAGTTAAACTTTACACACGTGCAGTTACGAAACTACTAGTGTTTTATTAATTATTGAGGCATTGTTACAAGCGGTGAACCTTCCTCTTTGAAATGGTTTTTGGTTTTTGTCGATCGGACTTGCCGTTTTTGAGATATCGTAATTTATGTAAATGGTAATTTTTCTTAATTCGACTATCTCTGTCTTCGTCTGACGCGTCGCGCCGGACCTCTCTTTCTAGCACGTGTCACGCGACCGAGTGGGCCGACTGACCTAGTTTCTACGAGTCACGTGCCGGTCAACGGCCTTGACAAGGCCGTAGTAAACAAATGCTTCGGACCCTTGTATCTCCGACACTAGCCACCGCATCGACTCGAAACTAAAATCGCCATATCTCCGGAACTAATAAAGCTATCGACTCGTTCGAACGCTCATTTTAAAGGGTATTTCATCCTCCATCTAATGACCATATCACCTACTATAATTTATGCTGTCTTCCATGTAAATTTTGACATTTACTTTGACGCTACATACCTAAAAAAGTTTCAACAATTCCTATCGATTGTAGAATGCTTATTTAATTGAAAATGAATTTAAATTTCTATAATAATAACTAGTCAGCATTGCTAGGAGTACATTGCCTGGTAAAAGAAAAAAAGAATGGTCATTTAACCGGTCATGGTAGGAATGGGTATACGTAAAGTGTCGGTGGGTTTAGTGTTAAAACAATGTTTTGAAAAACGATAGATTCGTTTGTCTTTTCCCGACAAAATGCAATCGTAAACGAATAAATCGCTAATGAGACTGAGATCTTGCCAGTTTCGTTGTAGATTGGAAATCTTCTTGAAACTACACCTGAATAGATTCGTGACTTTTCTTCGTCTCATTAGAGCGATCTACTCGTCAAGTCAATGCTACAACGACTCTCTATTGTTCCAGACAATTTAGAGGAATTCAGGCTAGTGTTCTACGGCACGGAGACGTCCCTGGAGTTCAGCGACGACCTGGACAAGGACAAGCCAGGACCTCCGGTGAATCACCAGGAGGCTGCCCAGGAAAATACGGCGATCGGGGCGAGGCACAACGCGGTGGACACGGACGGCGATCCTTGGACGGATAGCCAGCAGGTAGAGCGCGTCTCTCATCCAGAGGTACAAAAACCGACCACCGAGAACCAGATGAGCGGTTGCAGTTCCGTGGACGCTGCTAGTGGCAGGTGCCTAGGTGGGTGCCTCATTCTACTCCTTCTAGCCTACCTGACCGGTGGAGCCAGCTGGGGGAACCTGGTAACCAGCTGGCAGGAGCCACCGAACGTTCGGAGTAAGAGTGACCTCGAGGTGGTCGCCACCTCGGGTTCAGGTTCGACGTCGTCGTGCGAAAGTAACGCCGCGTTCGACGTACGCTCGGCGATCGACAGATCGTCAGGGGCTCCCTGGTACTCATGATGACATCCCTGGACGATCGATACCTTGGCCGCTCGGATCACGGTTTAACCGTAACCGAGATCTCGCGCCAGGTGTCGACGCGTTCGTTGAAACTTTTTGTGCGTTTGTGATTTCCCTATTGCGAGCCGACGGAGATCAGGCACCGCCGTGTGCCGCGTCCCCCAGCTTTCTCCGCGTCGTGTTTTCTCGTCCGGGGGAAGGACTCCGAGGATGTGCTGAACATCGAGCTTAAAAAGTCCTACGGGATTGTCCAAGTGCTTTTAGTGTGGACGCCCGATCGCTCACTAACGTGTGTCGTTCTAGGGTTAGGATTAGTTCAATTAAGTGTCGCGTACGAGAGACCTCTGTGACTGGTACAGGTGCAGAAAGAGTTGTCTGGACGTTTGAGTGGATTCATCGACGGCAGGACTGACTGGTTAGATAAGGGGGATCGAACCTGGAGAAAATCGATCGGACGAGTCGCCCCTGCGGAAGTGGGACGCGTACGATTTCTATTCTTTTGAATATGCAGCGCGGCCTTTTAATTTTCATGACGATGAATTATTCAATATGGCCGACCGTTTGCATATTCCGAAAGTGATACACTTTGATAACAATCCCTTACCAGCGACACCGCGAAAGAACGAAAGCCAATTGCTCAATTTTCGATTGCTACTCTATCTCGAGAAAAAAAAAATAATAAAAGTTAGTTGTTTCTTTACGAATACCTGGTTCTCTCCACGTTCGATCGAAAGCAGAGTTACTTTTCGATTAGGGCGCGTTTCCAGCAAAAAAAAAAATAAAAGCTAGCCATTGTTCGATACGCCAAAGCAACCCGCGACACTTTTCTACGAAACGTAAAGTAGCCACCCGCGAAACTGCCAGTACGAGGATTGAACCTTCCGAAGGGTCGCTTCCGAGGACAAAGTCCAGTTCGGGTCCTCGTAAATTTCGCGCGAATAGCGATCCTGGGAGAAAAATAAAAAAAATAATAATTGCCTCGCCTAACGTTAGTATTATTATTACTAGTAAAATCGCAAAACCGTTTCGAAGACTTGCTGTGTCGTTGTTCCGCGGAGGCACTACTAGCGATCGAAGACTCGTCGGAAGCCACTCGATCGCGAAATTCGAGGATAAACGAAATGTTCGATGAAATTAACGGTACGTTCCGTGTCCAATTATTTACGCGGTACGTTAACGGTTTAAATAATAACTCAGCCATCCTGTGTCGTATACAGGCAAAAGCAGACTTCGCAGAATAATCCGCGGGGAGATTAAACGGTATTTTAATAACCGCGGAAAAACGTTCGTGTAGTAACTTCGGTAGTTATTCTCAGTGTATTGATTGACGAAACGAGCCAACGTATTCCGAGAGTCTTTCTCTCTCTCTCTCTCACTCTCTCTCTCTCTCGTCCGTCTCTTTCATGTCTTCCCTTTCGCTTCCCCGCTTTTCCAGACTTTTCACTTTTATCTTTCCCGTTTCTTCCTTTATGCGCTGCGTTCCCTCTGTCTCTTTGCTTCCGTTTCTGTTTCGCCGAACTTTCTCCCTCGCTTTCCCTCTGCAACTTTACTTTGCCCAGAGGGGAACCGTCAGCTGGGCTATCAGCACTGCCGAAACAGGAAGGTAGCCAGCCGTTTACGGGGGCGGCTGATGCAAACAGCTAAGAAGAAGATACATAGGACTCGATGGTCGGGTTTTAAAGGATACATTTACGTAACTAAGAAACCCCGGCACAGTTGCTTGGGTTCTGATTCTAAACAGGACGCGCCGCTATACCGAAGTACCTGCAATTTCGTGCAATTCTTAACGGGAGTCGCGATTAAGGGAGAATCGGGATAAATTGTCGTCGGTATCGTCTCCGCGTAATCGAAATTCGATCGATTCGACGCTTCGCGGTTAAAAAATTACATAGAAATCATTTTCTTCTCGATTTGATCCTCTGTTACCGAACGTGACCGGTTGAGAATCAAATATTCTCACGCGGGGACATCCAATAGCAGGTTCGGATACTTATCGTTTAGTTGGGATATTTATAAGTGGATGTTTGAATAATCATTAAATAATTTTTCCTGCGAGGAATAAATAAAATAAGTAGAGCTTTTTGTTCTTTAAGTTTAGAGGCAAGCGTCTGATGCATCGAAAAGGATATTCTTTTTAAATAAATAATTCGATAGTGCGAAATTAAATATTCTCGCAAGAATTTGTCTCGTTAAAAATTGTATTGTTTTATATCAAAAGGATATTACTTAATTAAGAGAAAAATTGCATATCGTACGTGGTATTTTCGAGAATAAACACAAATTGAAGCTTTGGTCTCTACTTTTCCTTCAATTAACATTTATCGAGAGAATTATTTCTTTTTCGATCGTCTTGCGACGTACATTCCACTGTTAATTTTTTTCACTCCAAATCGTCTGCTAATATACTATTCAAATAGGAAATTCTTATCGACTAATTTTCCAGCCGGGACTGTTCGATAAATTTCGACTTTCATTTGCGTTACTTTGAACGTCAAGCTTTGAGTTCATGCAAAGTACTTGCTCGAAAGAGTATTATTACAGTATAATGTAAGTAAATGGATCATCGCTCGCGTTTAAGCGAGTAGACGATAATGAAACCCTTATATTTTTTAATGTACTTTAAAACACTCAACGATAGATCAGCTTTTAAACATTGATTAACTGAACGTAGAAAGACGAATTTTAAGCTAAATAGAATCCTCGATAAGGAACGTGACGAATCACCGATATGAATTAGTAATTGGAAAGAACTGTGCAAATGTTCAAAAACAAATGAAAAATGAATAGCCTCTAAGTGGAATTCCTTTCAAGAATTAACTGCAAGCAATTTATTGTTGGAGCAAGTACAATCTTTGTTTGAAGAAACAAATTAGATCTACATCAAGAATATAGCTTGAATATAAAAAAAAGAAACGAATTTCCATTGACTGTTCGAAGGAAATATAATATCGAAATGATTTAAAATAGATTTGTCGGTCTATAAGAAACATTCTAATAACAAAAAAATGTTGAAGTGGAAAAGCGGATGATATGATACTTATTTATAGACAGTTGCACGGAAGAAACACGAAATTAAACTATCTATAGTGTAAAGTTGGCACATGAACGCCTATATAGTTTCACTAATTGGAAACATTGCTTCTATCGATCGCTAGAGTAACGAATTAAAATGAAATATAATAATATACCGACGTAATTCTCAATAAAAAGATGGTTAAATAAGCGTGGATAGCAAAGAGACGCAGATAATTTGTTGATAGCTAGAATATAAAGGTGCATTGATGTTGAATAAATCTCATTGAAAATAAATAATTAAAAATAAACAAGATATCGTGTACGAGAACGCGCTGACACATACCAGACTAAAAAATAAGAGAGGAAATAGAAGTATGACGTTATAAATTCATCGAAAAGGTTCGTAGATTTTAGTTATCGTAAGAATGAACATTCACTATTTGAATCTATGCTTACAAGAAAATTAGACATATTTTTGTAACATTAATCGGGGAATTTTAAGTCGTGGAAAAAAAAATAGCAGTAGAAGAGATATCGTTAAGCGAAAAAATCACCGTAACTGAAAGAGGAGCTGAAATTTACCAATGAAAGTTACCAAATATTTAGTTAAGCCATAGGAGTCGAGTATGTTCCTCGAATTGGATCGCTACGTCATCGTTCATAAAGGATCAGAGGACGATTAAACGACAGACGGGGGCCCTTTCTCGTTCAAATTATTTCTCGATTTAGACCACTGATCAAAAGGAAGAGCCCGTTTAATTGATGAGCTTTTAAACGAAAAAACGAGTGGCGTGTGGATATTCGCGAACAAATAGCGAGATTTCGTTATGCTTGACCAATTTTTCTGAAACCTCGATTTCGTTAAAATCGACGAAGAAAAAGTAAAAATTCAATTCGGTGCTTCCCATCATATCGAACGTTACGAAAACATATTTTATTTCGTAAAATTTCAATTTCACGTTCGGGCAATAGAAATTTTAATTAAAACGTTCAAAATTATTACGAAGCAAAAAGAATAACTGAGGTTAGCAAATTAAATAACATTCCCAATTTCATTAATTACTTTAGCCGTAATAGCAACTGAATGTTGTTGATATTGTAACTTCGTTAATCTTTGAATTTGAGCAAACAAATAAAATAAAAAAGAATTGCCTGATTTAAGTATCTTTGGTATGAAGTTACATCTAAAGATGACTAAGAAAAATATGAAGACATATTCGATTAAAGGGTTCGATAAGTTCTCTATTGGACAAAAATAGAAAAGTTTAATAGCCACTCAAACCATGAAAAAGGAAAAATTTAGGTCAGCGAAGTTGGATTGACTTAGTCTAATTGATATTATTAGCGACGGGCCACGAAGATCAATTTGCATTGATGCATCAATTACTTCTTATCTTGATTTTAAATGCTGAAACATTATCTCGCGTATGGAAAAGAAAGAACGAACAATACAGATCAAGTTGAATGATTCTGAATTGGATATTTCTTTGACTCAAAAAATTTACATGGTACAGGACAAAAGGGATCAAATTTTAGAATGTAAAAATTACATCAGAAATCCAGTCTGTTCGTTTCACTGATGTCTGTGGTTAAACGAAAACCGACGAAAGTATAAAATTAGCTGCCTTCCTTCCCTATTACGAAGAGCGAGCTGATTTTCGTATTTCGTTTCAAATCACGCGAATCGCTCGATGCCATTTATATTCGTCATATTTAATTTATTTAATCGGAATCCGTGTTACATTTTTCCAGATTTTTACTCTT